TAATTTGTGACTGATAATGAAAACCTAAAGCTAAACATATATTTAGCGTCTGTCTCTTCTTTTCTTTTGCTTTATGTCACTGATATAAAAGAAATTTATTCGAGGCGCAACTACCGTCAGGAAAACGTGACAATTGACAGGCTCGTCATACTTTTAGTGAACTGCGTTCGTAAGTTGTATCACTAAGCGGTTTTCTAAACTTTAAATAATATCAATGATTAAGTTTGTGGTTAAACTTGTCACCACCAGAAAAAATTCTCAAAGTTCTGAAATAAGAAAACCAAGTAGCGATTGCTTTTAATTTTTTGCACTATAGATTAAGTATCTAAGTTATAATGTACTAGTGCCTATTATGGGTCAACCTCACCACTTAGCGCTACTGACTGTAACATTAAAACTGTGCTGCCTTCTTCTAACAGAGAAACGACCAAATCAGACAACTTTTTCCTCACTTCTGTTCAGTGAACACGTAAGATTTCACAAAATTCACAGTAAAATTTAATTCATAAATTCGAATACTAATTTTATAAATAATTCTCCAATGAAACAATAAAAATTACTTGATAACTTATTAAGCAGAAAATTAAAAACAATCATGTAATTATTATGTAGATTTCCGTTAACAGAATTTATAAAGATAGACAAGAGACAATGTTGAAATTATGATAAACTAAAATGTTAGAAACTAAACGAATACCCGTGCATGTGTGATATTCAGTAGTCACTGCATGACGAAGAGTCTACATGTTCGTGACTATTTACTTATATCCAAAAGTCAATATTGATAGTTTTATGTAGAAACAGTTTTGGGTCTAAAAGCATTCATTGCCTCTTTTTACCAGTAAATAAATATTTCGTAACTTTAACCAAATCATAAGAAGAAAGACGTGATATTTTAAGCTACCACTGTAACTTTCAATAACAAGGTAGGCGTTTTAAGACTTACTGATGTTAACCTTATAGTAACGCTGTGTGCATTGTAATTTCAATAACAACATAAATACTGCAGCTTTTAAAAACACTCATTACAGGATGGTTGACAGGCAAATAAATTTGGAATTATTCATGAAAATAGAAATTGAATGTTTCTTCTAATATATTTTTTAACACTGAAATAGTTTGTGTTTTACTCAAATAAGCTTCGTAAGACGTGCTTGAGGCATAACAAGCTTAAGACTGCGTACGTTGTCGATTATTGTTTCAGAAGTTGTTGAAACCATTGCCTCCACAGACATTGGAAGCTGCGATGGAAACAGTTTAAAGTTCATTAACCTTTTCACAAGTGGTCTTATCCGTAAACATTTTAATTATTAGATTGTACATTTTGAACAAATTGGATGAGTGATCACTGAATATCAAGAAATTTTTCATGCTAGAATTTTTATGTGTTTTTACTCGAATGGAATCGGAATATCTTCAACCTGTTTGACACTTTCTAGGCAAGTGAGCTAAACATCCAGACCAAGATACCCCTAGGTATCACGTATAGTCGACTTCAACTACCGATCAGAGGGAAGGCAGCCAACCATATAGTATCCGTTGCCACAAGGGCTTTGTCTAGCTCTTTGAATCGAATAACGTGATTTACTGTTACCTTTTAGTTTAAAACAAAACATAAAGAGAAAAAAAACGCATAGAAAAAATGCTAACACTAGAAATCTAGAAGGTTATTTATTTAACATTTCGAGCGCCTAAATAAATCATCTTCTAGATTAACATCTTTCTAGTGTTATCATTTCTTCAGATTTGTCACATTTATAACAAACTCACACAAATACACAGTTAAAAGTATAGACCATCGACCCGCAGCCCGACACGTTAACCACTAGGCCACACTTGGCCCTTATACTTGAATCATCATCAGCTATTAAATAAATAAATGTTATTATGGAATAAGATTCGTTCTGAAAACTCCCAATTACTCACAATAACAAAGCGCAATGGACCGAATGACTACAAATTATTCATCATTTCTTCAACCTTTACATATAAAAATCCAATAACAATTCTTCCGTTAGGGAGATGAATATATTTTGTAAAATGGATCCACCAGGCAACAGCTTTGCTGCAAATAGAAAAATCCAAGTGTGTTTTGAACGCATTTGCTACTTGAATTTAAAAGTTTTATCATCATTAAATTGATTGAGTGTGGTCGAATTGCGCTGCGCACTTCCCTGCCGAGGGTGCTTTATAAGGGTGACGGTCAAATTTTACTAGTCGGTCAGACAAGAATAGCCAAAGACCTGGCGGTGAATGCTTTAACTAGTTACCTTCACTAAACTCTATCAATTCAAAATTAGGGACGGCAAGTGCAAATAGCCCTTCAGAAGCTTTGCGCAAATATCTGAAACAAACAAACATAATTAAGTTTCTCTCATTTAGAAAAGTCTACTGTGGTTTAATAGTAAGTGGAAATAAAGTCTAGTAGAATGCTACTACTTTTCATAAGGTTATATATTAATCAAACGTATATTTTCTAAGAACGTTGAATTTAAATGCATCTCGTCAGACTTATTTCTTTAATCAATCCTAGAATGACAATCAACGTCTCCTGTCACTGCTTCAGTTTTATCTATTTTTGGAAGTATAAACAAGATACTTCTCACTGAAATGACATAGAATTGTTTAAGCAGTTTTCTTTGTCATAACTATTGGTAGTTGTTGATTGGTTGATTGTTCATAAGTACAAAGCTACACAATGGACTATCAATGATGTGCCTATTACGGGTATCGAAATCCAATTTTTGGCGTCGTAGCCTGCGGGCTTACCACTAAGCCACTGAGAAGGGAGGACTATTTGTCATTCAGTCAGGTTTACTCATATTTGAAGATGTTTTGATATATTATTGTTTTATTAGTTCTGTAATAAACAATAGAAAAATTATGGTTAACACTATAATGACCCTAAACATATTATTCTGTTTATGGATCATGTTACGTATTACAACTTATTCCGGACGGGTCCCAAGTTTATTACGTAACTTGCCAACAAGATTGATACACATAGTTTTTTTATTACAAATATATTTCAATATACAAACAATAACACGACTTACAATAACGGTTATTAAAAATAACGATCTACGTACAAAAGTTTTACAAACTTACAAACAATATTGAGTCCTCTATCTGGTCTGGAACTTCCTTAATATCTTATCGAGAGTTCATGATGAGGGAATTAATTTTGATTCGATGTAGATATACTTCACTTAACAGGGAGCTAGCTAACTCTGTGTTCGTCGTTCTTCGCCGGCCACACACGCCGAGATATTCACCGCTGAAGCTATATAATGTTTTCGTAAAAATACTAATGTCCGATGTGAATCCACTGAAGTTAAATGGTTTGTAATATTCGAAATCCATAAACGTTCCTGGTCAAATATATCTAGTTCCTGATTTATAAGCGTTATAACAATCACAGTTTTAGCTCCGAGGCTCTTAGAATACCAACTATAGCAAACCAATAATATATACTGTCTTTGGCACGTCTCATTGATTATATTTATAGGCGTGAGGAGAGTTTCTCGAAAATTCAGCTTACGCAATAATATAAACGATACACAAATGTTTACGTACACACACATACACTGAGTGGTCACA